CAGTTTGGGATATTAAAGGAGTCCTTGATGTAAATAAAGATTTTCAATTTATACTTAACTAGTACGAATTTTGTGCGATGCACGGGTAAGAGATATTCATTAATATTTATAAATTATAAATGTTCATCAAATTATATTTATAAATTTAAAATATAAAATCAACTCGTACGGTGCACATAATTGATATTAAAATTCGTTTTGAAATTTTTATTCTGAAATTCAATTTGAATACAATGTGGTTACATAAAATAATTATTTTGATAAAATTTTATCATATATTTAAAAATTTATGTGAATAATATGTATAATGATAAATTTTTATATTATTTAATTAATTAAAATAAAATTATTTTTGTATAAACTCTTCACTTCAAAAAAATTATATAGTTAAGTAATTTTTTAAACTATAAGTAATTGACTATTCTAATTACCTCCAAGTTAATAAATAATTACTTATTTTCATTTTATTAATCTCAAAATTTTATAGATTTTTTGTCGGCTACCTTATCGTTCAAATTTATCAACTAATTTTCTATAATTAAATTATAAATTTTAAGTTTTATTAACAAATATTTGTTCAAATATTATTCTAATTTTCGAAAGAAATACATACCAATTTTCTTATCTTATGACAAGTTATTATGGGAATATGTTAAAACAGTAAAGCTTGAGAATCATATCACCTTGATTTTATAATAAATCAACCTAAAATTCGACTTTCATACTTGTACTAAATAAAATTCATACCACTTATTTTATTTTCAAAATTTAAATACACTTCTCTTCATACCAATGAAATTCATACTATTTAAGTTTGAACATTTTATACCAAAATAAAATAACCCTCTTTTTGTTCATCATAATACTCAACTATTATTTTATTCAAAGATTTATTGTCATATAATATGTATTAAGATAATTTTTTAAATTAACCACTAAATTTTATTATATGCAAATATTTTGATATTTTTAACAAAATAAATTTTATATTTTTATAGCTTACGCAACACGGAATTCTATTTACGCTACGTAGTATAAGAACTAAAACTCGATGAATTACTTTTTAAATATTTTAAAACACTAAAAGATATACAATTTCAATATAAAATGGCGTTTAGGCGAGATTACATTTTTTTTAGGGGGAAACCCGTGCGTCAGGCATGGCTTAAAATTTCAAGTATTGATTTGTTAAAAATTAAGCAAATCATTTATTTTTTTAAACAAAAACAAATAAATTTTATAAATTCTCAATAAATTTTTAAAATCATTTTCTTTTTATTTATCATAATACTATATAATATAATGAAAAAATTTTTAAATTTGAAATTAAAGCTATATTGGCGGGTTTTTTCCGATTATTATTTTTTTCCAAAAAATTACCAAATTTATAGATATAAATATTGATGTATAATAAATTCAAAATATCATGGGCATGTGTTTCCTGTATGAAATGATGTACCAAAATTTGATTTCCAATATCTATTGGGCCGTTTATGGAAGAAAGGACATACCACAATAAATATGTACATACATTGAATTGTAGTCAACTGAGTTTTTAATTTTTTTTTTCTTTTCAAATAATCGAAAAAAGATAAAATGGAAA